CCCTTGGTGCCCAGGCCCTGCGCGGTGGCCGCCGCATCTGTCGCGTCTGCGGGTTGTCGCCTCTCGTCCGGAGCCCGGGAGCCCTCAAAGCGATGGGTTAGGTGAATGAGGATTAAAACATGGTGGCCTTCAACCCCGTACCCAGCGTCTCTCTCCTATTTTGTTTTTATTCTTTGTAATCGGAGTCCTCCCGGCCCTAGGTGTGTGGTTGAGGCCGGAGGCGGAGTAGTAGTCGTTTTTGTTTTTTGTTTTTTTAAATCCCGGTACCATGAACATAGTAGGTCCTCCTTGGACGTATCTGGTGGCTTGAAACGTTTGGATAGAGCCGTGAACGGGGTGGGGGGGAGGCGTTAGGCCTGTGACCTCCACAGGGTTGGGGTGGGAAGGATTGCCGCATCCTGGGGACTTAGTCACATTGATTTGGGGAGATTTAGGCCTCGTGGGGTGAGATTCGTATTGTTTCTGGACATGTATTCGTTGAAAAGACGTTGTGAAGAGTCTACTAGGTGTCAGTGTTGTGCTGGAGACGTCAAGGGTACAGGGGACCCAGGTGATTTCTTGCCCTCACAGAACTAATATGTAAGGGGCGGGGGGGGGCTTAACAAACAACCAGCCTGTGATGAGTGCTCTGGAAAGGGGAGTCCCCGGAGTTCTTGTTCCTCCACCGGATGATAAAGAAGGTGTTGCCATAGAGCTGCTGTCCTCCAACAGCTGAGAAAGCACCGTGATGGTCAGCTCAGCTCCCAGGGAAGTGCAGCCAGAGGAAGGAGGGCCTGCAACCGTGGTATCTGGGTGAGGCTCCGCAGATCGGGGACACACTGGCTCTGTCCGGAAGGATAAGTTAGCCCAGGAGCCCTCAAAGCAATGGGTTAGGTGGATGAGGATTGAAATATGGTGGCCTTGAACCCCGTACCCGGGTAACCTAAGCAAAAAAGAACAATTTAAAGGCATACAACGGAAAAGAACTCCGCAGGTAGTGTAGTTTTGACATTTAGCAGTGTTGTGGCATTTAGAACACATGATGGCATTCTAAAGAGCCCAGACTGTATTTTCTACAAAGTGGTAAAAAAAAAAAATGTAATCCGTTTCACAATCACTTACTTGGCATCCATAGCAGGAACCTGGGATTGTTTGACAATCTTGGTCTCATCCAGAATAAGGTAGAGTGAGGAGAGCTTTGCACATGACTCTCGGTTTGGAAACTGCCTCTCAGTTGTTGCAGTCCCTCTTCACTTCCTTCCCTTTGGCCTTTAAGGACCAGAGGAATAGTGACAAATTGCAAATGGATTCCAAAGATGATCTGAAAGTACACTGGACAGAGCATTAAAAAATCTGAGGGAAGTGCTTTGGGTGAGCCTAACTAACGGATTCTTCATATAAAGTAAAATTTGGTTTGGATGTGTGTTTGGATGTTTAATTCAGCAAATACATGTCTCTGATATATCAGCCATTGTGTTAGCTTGGAAACTAGAGCTCTAAACTTCAGATTCTTCATCTGTAAATGGGAATGATAGTACCTCAAAGTTGTAAAGATTAATGAGATGATGTTTGTGCTATTGCTGTGCCTGGCTCTCACTAGAAATCTTTTAAACTAGAGGCCCGATGCACAAAGATTCGCAAGAATAGGCCTTCCGTCCCCTGGCTGCCAGCTGGGTGGAAGCCTGCTTCATTGCTGTGGTGATGAGGCAAGTGGCCCTGCCTTCCTCATCTTTGTCACATCAATTTGCATATTCCTTCCTTATTGGCTGTGGGCGCCACCATCTTTTGTTGTGGAGTGATGGTTAATTTGCATATTCCATCTTCATTAGATAGGACAGTACTATGGACTATATATTTGTTTTAAATTCTCTTTACCTTTCTTATTGGCTCTAGGCCTTTACTTGAGAATTGAGATTATCTCGTCTTGGCTCTTTAGTCCTTGTGTTAGTGCTTATGTAATGTACATAGTTAATATTTGAAGGTAATTGGCACAAAAGTTGACAGTTACAAGAGGCATGACTTTTTTATGTGTGCTCATAACTAAAGCTGCTGATTTGCATAGTAGGGGTTGATGAAAATACTTTATTTTCATTAAATAAGAGATGGCTTAGAAAATGCTTGACAAATTATAAGAACTTATACTTCACCCCTACTCCCAAAGGGCATTTTTCATGAAGGGAAGGACTCTTGACTTAACTTAAAAACTCAGAAAATTGCTCTAACTGGTTTGGCTCAGTAGATAGAGCATCAGCCTGTGGACTGAAGTGTCCCAGGTTCGATTCCAGTCAAGGGCATGTACCTTGGTTGCGGGCATATCCCCAGTGGGGGTTGTGCAGGAGGCAGCTGATTGGTGTTTCTCTCTCATCGATGTTTCTGACTCTCTGTCTCTCTCCCTTCCTCTCTGTAAAAAATCAATAAAATATACTTTAAAAAAAAACTCAGAAAAATTTTTATTTGGTTAAATTTCGTCTTAATACTACTTTTCCCACTAATTAGGAGACTGGTCAAGTAAAAAGCTGTATTAATAAGAAAACAACATATTGGAACATAGTATTACTACACCTCCCCTAAAAATTTTGGGAAGAAATATAATTAGTTTCCTTTTTATTTTTTTTATTTTTTGGATAGAGAGTCAGAAACATCGATGAGAGAGAAACATCGATCAGCTGCCTCCTGCACACTCCCCACTGGGTATGTGCCCGCAACCAAGGTACATGCCCTTGACTGGAATCGAACCTGGGACCCCTAAGACCGCAGGCCGACGCTCTATCCACTGAGCCAAACCAGTCAGGGCAATTAGTTTCCTTTTTAATCTGCACATCCCTCTGCTATTGTTTTCAGACAGTTTCATTTTAAACTGAGCAGCTCCTATAATTTGTTCATAGGAAGTTCAGATTCCTTTTAATAACAGGTAAGAGGTGGAACCTAATTTGAAGCTGGCACCAAAGAAAGATCTCTACTTACTAGAAAATGCCAAAAAATAAATAAATAAAAATCGCATAGTAAATGAGGTTGCTAGAATTAGCAAATAAAAATATGGGATTCCCAGTTAAATTTGAATTTCAGACAAATAACAGCTTATTTTTTAGCAATATTTGGAACATATTTAATGTGACAATTATTTGTGCATTATCTAATATTTAACTTTAACTGAGCATTCTGTATTTTATCTGGCAACTCCAATAGCAAGTAATTCTAACCCCACAGTGACACCTAAGGGATGGATGCTTAGAAAACAGTATAATTGTGCAGACAGTTTAATTCCTTCAAGTGTTCCTCCAAAAATTACATACAGTACTCAAAGTGTGCCAAAAACAGAAGACTGTGATACTGGGACAGAGAAGAAATTCTCAAACAAAAATGCACATATCAAACGAAATATATCACAAAGTCTTCTGTTTTTTTGTAAATATATTTTCATGCTTAATTCTTTAATCCAACTGGAATTGATTTTTGTTTGTGAGAGAGAAATCTTATTCTGCCTTTTTCTACATGGTTAGGCAGTTTTCCAAGCATCTTTCATTAAATCCTTCTTCCATTAATGTGTAATGCCCACTGATTTATAATACCATATGTTATACATCTTCCTCTTTTCATGGATCTATTTGATACCAGTTTTCATTATAATAGTTTTATAGTAAATGTCTTACTCTGTTTTTCTTCAAGATTCTCTTGGCTTACTTGGACCTTTACCCTTCCGTGTAAACCATTTACCATTTTACTAAATTCCAAGAGGAAGTAGGCAGAACACCTGATGGGATTTTGATTAGAATAGTTTTGAATTTCTAAATTCCTGGAGAATTGACATATTTACTATAGACTTTCCAAGGCATATTTCTTCAGCATTTATTAAAAGTATCTTTTTTGTCTTTCTGTTTGATAATTTTTGCCATAAAAGCCTTACATGTCTTTTTTAAGTTTTATATGTTTTGTAAGGTATCTTAAAGTGTTTTTGGTTTCCAGTATCTTTGTTGAATTATCTTGCTACTTCTAATAGTTTGCTAAAACCTCTTATATTTTCCATATTACATAAATATTACATGTAAATTATTTTAAAAAGATATTTAAATAATCTTTGAGTAATATTTGTTTCTTTCTTTTCAATTCTGATACCTTTTAATATGGTGTTAAATGGAAGCTGTGACAGCAGGTATTATGTAGTTCTGACTTTAAAGGAAATGCTTCTGATGTTTCATGATTAAATATAATAATGTTTCTTGTATACTTTTTGTTAAATACCTTTCTTTTCCTTTTTTGCTAAGAGTTTTCTTTCTTTTAAACAAGTATTGAGTTTTATCAAATGCCTTTTCAGTTTCCCAGATAAAACATTTACAGCACAAATCTGACTCTCTTTAATATTTTTTGTAGGGTGACCAGCATATCACTTTTTGGAGAGAGGTCAGTTGCTCGACAGAATTAAACAGGAAATTTGCTTAGAATCAAGAACGATGGATCCGTGTTCAGTTGGAGTTCAGCTTCGTACCACAAATGAGTGCCATAAAACCTTCTATACTCGTCATACAGGTTTCAAGACTTTGCAAGAATTGTCATCAAATGATATGCTTTTACTTCAACTCAGAACTGGAATGACACTTTCTGGGAACAATACAATTTGCTTTCATCATGCAAAAATTTACATTGACAGATTTGAGGATTTGCAGAAGTCATGTTGTGACCCCTTTAACATACATAAAAAACTAGCCAAAAAAAACTTGCATGTAATTGACTTAGATGATGCCACTTTTCTGAGTGCAAAATTTGGCAGACAGCTTGTACCTGGTTGGAAGCTTTGTCCAAAATGCACACAGATAATCAATGGAAGTGTGGATGTTGATTCTGAAGACCGGCAGAAAAGAAAACCTGATTCAGATGTATGTATAGTAGTTATTTTTTTCTGCTATGTTATTTCTACACCATGGGGTTTTGTTTAACTATAAGGAAATCATATTTACATTATTATTTACTAGAGGCCTAGTGCATGAATTCATGCACCAGTGGGGTCCCTCGGCCTGGCTGGCGGGATCAGGCCAAAACCAGCTCTCTGACATCCCTCAATGGGCCCTGGATTGCGAGAGGGCACAGGCCAGGCCGAGGGACACCACCAGTGCACGATCGGGACCAGGGAGGGATGTGGGAGGTTGGCCAGCCGGGGAGGGACCGTGGGAGAGCTCCAGGGCATCTCCGGCCTGTCTTGCTCAGTCCTGATCAGCCAGAACCTGATGTGGGAGGTTGGCCAGTCGGGGAGGGACCGTGGGAGAGCTCCAGGGCATCTCCTGTCTTGCTCAGTCCTGATCAGCCAGAACCCAGCAGCAAGCTAACCTACCGGTTGGAGCATCTGCCCCCTGGTGGTCAGTGCATGTCATAGCAAGCAATTGAGTGGCCTTAGCATATCATTAGCATATTACACTTTGATTGAATGGATGACCGGACACTTAGCATATTAGGCTTTTATTGTATAGAATTATACTAATCAGCATGCAGTGAATGTAAAGCTGGGGAAGTGAAAATAAATGGTGTTTCTAAATATTTCTAGATACCTAGATCAGCGATTTTCAACCTTTCATCTCATAGCATACATAAAGTAATTTCTAAAGTTCTGTGGCACACCAAAAAATACATATTTGTGTCCAATGGACAAAATATACAGGTATAATTTTTATTTCATTTACACTGGACAGCTGTTGTGTTGACTGTTGTCGTTTCTTTATTTGACAATTTAAGGGAAAAGAGGTCAGTTTCCCTGACTAAATAGTCCAGTATTGCATGTATTAAAAATTCTTGCAGCACACCAGTGTGCGGGGGCACACCAGTTGAAAATCTCTGACCTAGATTGAATGATAAAGAAAGTAAGTTTGGGAAAGGAATAACATAATATGCCCAAGACTCTCTTTAACCGTATCAAAACAACTTAAGATTTCATAAAGCTCTCTTTGGTATAGAACAAAGACAAATATGTCAAAGCACTGCTTAAAATTTCTATTTGTAACTAATTTATAATTCTTGCAGCTGGGAAGAATTGTAATTTTTCATTATATTAATAAGTCAAGAGGTAACTAAAGTTTAAATTATGTTTAGTGCTTTCCTTTGGTGCTCCCCCCAGAGGCATATCTCCAGAACTCAGTGGTATCTTGCAGCTCATACTAAGTACTTGCTACTGTCACTTCAGATGTCTTCACTGCTTTATTTATCCATTGCTCTTGAGGAATGTATCACATAAAGCTGTTTCCCCCAAGTAACAAACTTAAACTCTTCACCATCAAAATTTGTAATGCATTTTAGGACTTATTCTCTGCTTTTGAAAACATAATAACATGAGAAACTTTTCTTAAGGACTCAGGATCATTAGTAGGACCCTCAGGTTATAAAGCAGTTTTTCTGACTTCTCTCCCATGTTGGCAACAGCTATTTCAGTTTTCACCGTGTCTGTCCCCTTCCTCTCCTATATGCCAGAAATTAAAAATTAGGTAATGAAAATATTACATGTAAATTACCAATAAATTTTTAATATGGTCCAGGGCTATAAATTTTGTTGCACTTGGGCTCTAAAACCTTTTTTTCTTTTTTTTGTGAGTTCCAGACTGTCTTCCAGGTTAAGGAATAATCTGGATTAACAGTAAGTGAAATAGTAATAAAATATGATCTGATGTCAAATTGGTAATTTGTTTACCTTTATTCAGGGAAGAACTGCTAAAGCTTTGAAATCATTACAGTTTGCAAATCCAGGAAAGCAAACTGAATTTCCTCCAGAAACTGGTAAAAGAGAAAAAAGAAGGCTTACAAAAAGTGTAACCTCTGGTTCAGACAGGTAGGCTATGTGTTACTTCCGTCATATGTTAACTTTCTGACTCATATCTGTGTTGTTCCCCTATCTTTCTCTTAAGTTTTGAATTTTCTGGGTTAGTATTTTGTGTAGTGCTAAGAACATCTGAAGGCCTCATAAATAATTGACATCTTTTTCAACTCGAAAAATTTGTTTATAGGAAAGTATCAGTGAAGTGAACAAGATAATATTTTTGCATAAGAATTAAAATAATTTAAACAAATTATTCTTAGAATTAAAGTAATTGAATTTTTTTGAAAAGCATTGATATTATAAATTGGTATATCTGCTATATGAGTGGCAGCAGGAAAGTAAATTTTATGAGAAACTTTATAGGTATGAAATGGAAAAGTTATGGTACAGTCACCAGAGTGAATGAGGAAACTAAATTGTTTAGAATGTGACTTTTAAATTGAGCATTTCTAAAATATAAATTGATAAAGAAATATTAGTATAATCATTCAGAATTTTCTACAGATTGCGTTTATTCTATCTGTTAAGGTTTTCTGTTGAGTCATATAAGTATTTTTAAGTCAGATTTGCTGGAATCCATCAAAGAACTTGAAACAGATTAACTGCAGTATAAAAACCAGTAGGGTAGTACACTGTAATAAAAATAAAATGATATTCACAAAGCAGTAAAGAGATTGGTAGCCAACAAAAAGTACCTCTATTAACTACCCATTTTCCTTTTCTTAAAGGTAAGGGAAGTTTTAACAGAAATATACCTATTTTTGGACAAAGTTCTTGTCCATTCTTTTGTGAGTTGATTTCAATGGACTTTGAGAGGAATTTTAGGCTTATTGAATTTGTGTCAATACTTCAGAGTAGGATCTCTTCTGACGAGGAGTTAATACTACTACTAGCTGTAGAGTAGCCTTGAGTCTGGTAAGTTTTGTACCAGTTTGGTAGGACTTCATCCGTAATTCAGAATATTTTATCTCCTTAAATTTTTTCATTACCTTATTTTCAATTAAGTATTCAAAAAGTAATATACTTGTGAGGTGTAATTCGCCTGTGTTTATTTTACAGACAAGTGATACCAGCCAAGAGTAAGGTCTATGATAGCCAGGGTCTCCTGATTTTCAGTGGAATGGACCTCTGCGACTGCCTGGATGAAGATTGCTTAGGGTGTTTCTATGCTTGTCCTGCCTGTGGTTCCACCAAATGTGGAGCTGAATGCCGCTGTGACCGGAAGTGGCTCTATGAGCAAATCGAAATTGAAGGGGGAGAAATAATTCATAATAAACATGCCGGATAATTTGTAGCATTTCATTATGGGATCTTTAAAGTATTTTCTCTATTTCTAAAATTCTGTCATTCTCAAATACATTTTAAAGTTGATTGCCAAATGACAAAAATTTGAAAATTACCTTAACATGCACTCAACCAGCGCTAATATTGTAAATTTATTTCAGCAGCCACTTAGAGCCTGTCTGGGCCAATGTAAACAAGTAAGGCATAAGCAGTCCTCAATTTGCACAATTCACAAAGCCACAAATTCCGATAGCAATGATTTAGTTGAATAACACCAGTTCCCTAACAGTACAGTTCAAATTTCAGTTTCCAGGCTATATTAACCGTGAGTAAAGTACATGAAGTAGTCACTGTGAATAACATGTATTTTATGATCAGTGGCCAATCACATTACTTCTCAAATTCTGCTGGAGGTTGGTCACTGCACATCTGTTAATCAGTCCACTTTCAGACAGCAAAGCATATAGGTATATTTCCTTGCCCCACATGTGACATTTTATAAAAGTAGGTAATGGAAAGAATGGGCAAATAAATGAAAAGTGATAATGCCAGACAGAATTGAGATTCGAGGTGAACATTAATGGAGTTGTAGAAGTCGCTGATCATAGGAATGTTGACAGTGCTGCTTTTCAACCTAGAGCCTCTGGATATGCAGCCAGAGAAATTTAGTGGCAGCAAACTTCCCAACATAAATGAGGAAAGGTCTTGTCCCCGAGGAAGTGATGTTAGAAACTTCACATTAAAGGAAATTGCAGAAATATTTTACGACATTCAAAGTACAAATGCTGAAATATGGAAACTAATCCAAATTTAAAGGAGAATGGCAATTTGCTATGGTATAAGTTACTGGACAAAAAAAAGCAAGCACTGTTTAAATGACTAGATTAATTTTTTACAATGAAAGAACATGAATTCTCAATCTTTCTAATGTTTTAAATTACAGTGTTCTAAATACTTTTATAATTTTTCCATTTACATTTTAACTGAACAGAACAAGTATCATTTTCCTCATTGATTATTAACAAAGATTGGCCATTTTTTATGATCCCATACTATCATGCAAGGCAAGAACTGCCTGTAACTGAGAAAAGTGCCTACTTTAGGAAAAATTAATTTTGATGCAGTGGTTGAGTGCTAAACTGTTTTGGGAATAATCCACATATCTGTACTAAAATATGCCATTTCTTCTCCCCACTTAAACTCTTCAAATAAATGTTTTAATACTGTAAACCTTTCATTGTTTAGACCATGCTTTCTTGGTGAAAATGTGTTCTTTGTCGCAAAAATCTTATTTCTGTATTTAAAGCAAAAATATACATAAGTATATAAACAGATGTTGATTGCAATTAGAGGACTAAAAAAAGACTCCTTAAGGGAATAATAATAACAAATAGAGAAACACTGGTTGAGACTATAAATTATTTGGAAATTAAAACTTGATGTTGGGATTTGTATGGGTGTTGTTTGGAGGATGGGGGTGGGTGATAACTTCTCTCTGCTCTTTATGTTTTTTAAAACATAAAAAAATACGTTTTAAAATACCTGTTCTAAATCTTTCATTATCTAGGATACTGCCACTAATCTAGATTTTTGTTTTGTCTTCCCTAAATATAGTACTTTAGTTGAATCAGATGAGCTTAAAACAACTTGAGATATTTTTTAGCCATTGAAACTATAAATTTATACAAGCAGTTTTATTGACCAATAGAGGTTTATTTTTATTTTTGTATACTCTTAGTATCTCTTTGTTGGAATGCCATTTTCAACCATGAAATTAACAGTCATTTTTAAGATATAATTGTTCACTGACCTAGTTATCAAAAGTACAGTTAATTCCTTCATTTAAACGTTTCAACAGCACTGGCAAAAAGAATATTTTAGCTTCATATGCTTAAATAGCTAGATTTTTTTAAATTAAGGAAATATGTTCTTATAAAGGACTTAAACATAGACTCCAATTTTGTCTGAACTTCCAGGATCATTAGACCTTCTTAATTGCATTTCTGCCATCATTTCTTAGAGACTCTGTTTAAAACGAATATTTTTTTTAACAGAATACATGACTTTAAAAATTCAAATATTTTAATTTCAGCATTACTTAGTAGAACACTTTTGTGTTATTTTCAAAGGAAAATTTTTTGGAGAACAGTTATCAATTATGCTAATATTTCTTTATTGTGCCTATTTAGGAGACCAAGTTTTTAATGAGCATGCTAAAAGGTTTGTAGAGAACGAAAAATCTGATTTTTATCACAAGTCCACTTACTGTTTTTTAATTTCAGAAATACAGAAAACAATAAAATTGTCTAGACCCTTCTGACATTTTTGCGGATGATTCAAGGTGGCTAAATTGTTTTAGAATGCTATTACTCTTTTAAAAAGCAAAAATAAAAGTTCAGTAACATTTAACTTCTGCTGTATGTGGCTCCTGGTGGAGAAGTTAATATGAGACCACAAACATTGATCTTACACAATGTTTTGGCCACAAATGTTAAAAGTAAAAATGTGTGTATACTTTATATTTGAATAAAATAAATGGCATCCCATGTGATTTTTCTCCTGTGACTTTTACAAATATAAGAAAATAACTTTGGAATATTTTATGTACGATTCTTCTGTTTTTAAAATATTACATCTAGTTCAATGTAACAGGCTATTCTAAAACTGCCTGGCATGGATTCAACTAAGTAATTTTTAGCAGATGTATTTTGAAGCATACATATACGTATACATATGTAGGCAGTGATTTATTAATACAGAGAATATAATTTTAGTAAGTTCTAGCATAGTTCTTAACTTTTTGGAGATCAGACACCCCTGTGAAAAGTTGATGAAAGCTATGAACTCTCTCCCCAGAAAAATAATATTCATGTACAGTAGGTCCTCGGGTTACATCAGAGATCCATTCTTTCTGCGCAATGTAATGCGATTTTGCCAAAAGTCGGAACCCACCTACATAAGCACCTACTTCACTCATGTGGAGCACATACACAGCTCCATGTGACGAAGTGAAACAGTAAAAAAAAAATTTAAAAGAAAGATAATTCTTGACCTTTACTTGTGGTAAATAAATAATAAAAAACATAAAGCACATATGTACATAACATCGAATGATGGAACTTTTTTGATATAAATACTGTAAATGGGAGATGGCGATGTCACCATGAAACAACGTTATGTCGAGTCCGATGTAACCCACATAACCCGAGTGAAGCATCCATCATATATAAAAACTGCTGTTTGAAATTTTAACCCTGCTATTTCTGGCTTCTGTAAATGCTTGCTGGCTTAAATAATAAGGAAAATAAGACTACTCCCATTTCAGAGAGGCCATTAAACCTTCTCCAGACGAAGTTATTAGTGCTGGCGTCAGGCCAAGCCTTTGGTTGAGGTCTCAAAGCCCCAGCACATAGGGCCCTTTAAGATCTTGCAAAGGGAACCGGAAAAACCCCATATTTGGGAGACGAAGGTAAAATAGTATAAATATGGGAAACTTCGTGTGTGATGGCACCCAGAATTTGAGAGACATTTTGCTCTGGGCTCGCGTGTAATAAATGTAACTCCATCTCTCTAAGCGTTGCTTGGTTCTCTGGTTTTTTTTGTAACACGAGGATTGTTTGTACTCACAAATGTTCCATGTTCAGAACCCCTGAACATGGATTGGAGTTCCTGAGTAATATGAAATATTCTCTAAACCAGTTAGTTTTTTTTTTAACCAAAGGTGGCTGTCTGAAGTGTACTTTGGTTTGTTGAAGGTGGCTTTTTTTTTTTTTAAACAAAATTGGAGCAATTCAGTTTTTTGAAAGAGCTGTTGCAAAAACTCAGCTCCCACTGTGGCCTCTCATCCTCACCCCTGCCTCCCCTACCCCTTCCCCCCCAAAAGGAAATTTACAAATCAAGTAACAATGTAGAAAACTGAGGTGTCTTCAATGGACTAGGCTCTGGTAATTAGAGATTTTCCATTTCACTGTGGGTTACCCTACTACCAAGAGTTTAACATCCTCCTTGCAAATGCATGTGGTACTGCCTTGGTTTTTGCTGACATCTGCTGGTATCTTCATGGAAATAAACCACAGCTACTAGCCACTTACTCTCATCTCTTCTAGGTCAAACTTTAAACACTGGTAATTACATTGAAGTGGGAAATTAAAACAAAAATTCTAAAAGTAGAAAAGCTGCTCCTGTTAGCCTTCTTAGGACTTGCCCAGCAGTTGTCCACCATGGTAGGTTTAACTTTTAAAAATATGAGTGAGGATGCAAAAGTATGCATAGGCACTTTTTGGGTTGCTTTTATTTTTATAAAGTGGCAAAACTTAGAAAAATGATGTTTTTATCTACGTATCTTTTTTAAATTGTCAAACATTTCATTGAATGCTTTCTTGATTTAAAAGGTGTAATAGGCTTCCATAGAATCTGTATCCCAACTTGTAAATTTTTTGTGATGGTAAAGTGCTGAGGTTTGACTCATTTTACCAAGATAATTTAACTTCTAGAAGATGGAGGAAATTGACCAGATAAAGCAATTGGGTTAATAATGCTATATCTTTAAACGCAATTTGAAAATATTTAACTACAGCTTATGAAGTGGCACAATTAAAATACATTGTTTTTCCCTGTGATTGAAACCATGAGGGAATACTTCCTTCGTGAGACACCTAATGATTAGAAACTTCAATTTTTCATTTCATCTCACGACAAGCAAACAACTGTTTTATTCAGGAGTTGCCAGAGTTTTATTCAAGAGTTTCTAGGCTATGGTTTTGAGATAAACGGGCTTACTAAAAATAAAGTGTGTGCAAGCATTGATAAAACTGCCAAAACCTGAAACTACCAACTTCAACAGCTAACATCTGCAAACACAAAAGAAGTTGTAGGCTCATGATATTCATTGGAAGCATGCTGGATAATACTTTTTTTACTCAATTCTTTTCACAGGCACATTTTGCTTTAATGAAATAAAATAAAAACCAGACGTTGGTTCAGGGTTCAGGATCTTTGTCCTTTCAAGAGAAAGAAAACATCTAAAATCAAGTTTGAAAACCTTAAGTCAGTCTTTAATTGGAGACCGTTTGAAACAATTCAAAATGTAAATAGGGGCTCTGTAAATACCTCTTGTTATCAACAAACAATCAGAACAATGAGATAAGTTCAGATTAAGTTGGTTTTAATTGTTTTAAATTCTGGTAGCTGAAATTTATTATTTGGACTTCAAGGTAGTATTTACTTGTAGTCTTTGATGGCCTAAGATAAAATAATGGTGATACTGGTACCATGTAAAAGGTTTTTATGAGATTCTGGGTAAAGTAAAAACTTAACTTTGGCATTAAGATAGGTAAAGTGAGTCCTAGCGGGTTTGGCTCAGTGGATAGAGCATCAGCCTGCAGACTGAAGGGTCCTGGGTATTTCAGTCAAGGGCATGTACCTCAGTTGCAGGCTGGATCCCTGACCCCAGTCAGGGCACATGCAGGAGGCAACTAATTGATGTCTCTCTCTCACATCGGTGTTTTTCTCTGTCTCTCCCCGTCTCTTCCACCTGCTCTAAAAATCAATGGAAAAATATCCTGAGGTGAGGATTTAAACAAAAAAAAAGTGATTCAGGATGGTCAGTGAACTGTGGCATCATTAAGGTTTTTATCTCAGACTTCCCCAAAGGTTAGTTGGCCTTTTGATTTGGATTGCACTTTTACTGTTTTTCAGTGTAGCATAATATAGTGAGATCAAATCTCTTAAGAAACGAGAGCTTAGACTGCCAGTCTGAAACGACCTGGAGAGAATTGTCCACTTGAGCTTTTTTTTTTTCTTTTGGGGAAATGAGGTTTTTAAAAATGCCAACAGCTTCTAGTCACTCAAGGCTTAGTGAACAAGATTATGCAAAGAGAATTTCTGCATAAAATATAGGCCCTACTATTTGGGGCATGCAAATTAGATTTCTTTTTCCAAAATAATTTGGCTCATGGCATTTCTAAATTGGGCCACAAGAGGACGTTCCTATAGGAAATGTTGAAATGAAAAAAGAAACATTTCCAAAAATTTTCAGCAAAAGTTTGCAATTCATTCCAAAAGGTATAGTTGAACAAATGCATATATTCTCTTTGATGTATTTGTATCAAAGAACTACACATAGATTTAAGCATCAGAGAACAGACGAAGATCCCTAAAAAAACCAAGCCTCACACTGTGACACTCACAACCCACATTAGAAGGCTCCTCTTTTAAAAGAAATGGCCCTAGGAGATTCTTTACACTCCAAATTTCATTTTCCCCTGCTCCCAACTGATTGGGTTGGTGGGAGACCTGACCCAAGGAAAGCTAATCTTTATCTTGGCCAGAAGCTTATAAGTTGGACAAATGTTAAGGAAACACTGCCCAAAGGAGAAGGTGATTAACTGCACCAATCAGATTTGGGAATTTATTTATTTAAATTTTTAAAAATTTATCTTTATTGTTGAAAGTATTTCCCATTGACCCCCTCCACCCAGCACCCACCCCACCCCAGGCCTTCACCACATTATTGTCTGTGTCCATAGGTTATGCATATATGCATATAAATTCTATGGTTAACCGCCCCCCACCTCCCTGAACCCCCAGAAGGTAAGGAGGAAAGAATTCAGTTTGTATAAGGAGAGATGAAATGACCGAATAGCTAAGGCACTGTAATGGAACACTAGGGTTCTATACATAAACACTCAGGAGGCAGCAACTGCTAGGGCTGCCACCGAGTCACAGGAGCTGCTACGAGATTTATACATCTGTTATGTCTCAGAAATAGCCAGTCTCAATGAAGCCTGGCCACACAGTCAAGATCCCTCTTATTTGTGTACTAGAGGCCTGATGCACGAAATTCTTACAAGGGGCTTGGCTCTCGCAGCCCCGGCTTCATCCAGAAGGTCGTCTGGACAGTTGTTCTGCTGTGTCTAATTAGTAGCATATTAGCTCTTTATTATATAGGATGAATACTTCCAACAAACACTCCATTACTAAAGAGAATCTTTTTAAAAAAATATATTTTATTGATTTTTTCAGAGAGGAAGGGAGAGGAATAGAGAGTTGGAAACATCTATGAGAGAGAGACATCGATCAGCTGCCTCCTGCACACCCTCTACTGGGTATGTGCCCACAACCAAGGTACATGCCCTTGACCGGAACTGAACCTGGGACCCTTGAGTCCGAAGGCCGACACTCTATCCACTGAGCCAAACTGGTTAGGGCTAAAGAGAATCTTAAGGAGTTAGTTCATTCACCCGAAGAGCTTTACTAGTGAATACTCTGCTCTTCTGGTTTAGAGAGAAGAGACTGGAGGTGAAATGTCATGCTGCTGCATGTTAGTAGGTCTGGAGTAGGGGCATAACATTTGCATTTCCAGCCAGTTTGCAGGGGAGGTCGAAGTGGCTAGTCTGGGAACCACACTTGAAGAACCACTGCTCTTCAAGGGTGGTTCTCAACCTTGTATGCACATAGAAATAACTTATGGAACATCAAAAAAATTCCTTTACCTTGGCCTTACCTCCCAGATACTTGATTTCATTGGTCTTGGGTTTAGACCCAAACTGA